TTTGTGCTATGGTTTGATCTTTTTGGGCAAGAGATTGTTTTAAACTTGCAACTTCGGCTTCTAATTGTTCTATTTTCCTATCTTCGACTAAGAAATATGGTATAATGGCTTGATCCCTTAAATAATTTGTTGTCTTTATCCATACCCATTGAGTTCCACGATAATCTTTTATCTCACATGCTAAAATTATTCTACTAAGCTGTATCTCTTTAATTAGCAAAGTAAAGCTATTATTTTCAAAAAAATTATCATTTTGTCCACTAATCACTATTCTACTTAATTTTTCATTTTTACTAAGGTCTATACTTTCTAAAATATTAAATCGAACGTTTTGCTGAAAAGTGATTTTTCTAAGGTTAGGAAATGGCGCCAAGTCTAATTCTCCATTCAGCAGTCCGGAATTTGGATTGTCATAAACGTTGAGTGTCTCACCCGAAAGAGAAGGTTGTTTATTATTACTTTGCTGAAAATTTATATGTTTCGTTGCTGTTTTTTGACTATTATTTAAGTGATTAAATATCGTTTGTGCCATAGTTGAATTTATTTTCAAATTATAATTTGTTTTTAAAGATTGCTCACTAAAGCTCTTTACTTATTTACTTAATTCATGGGAAAAGAAGTTCATTACAAAATGTCCAGAATCTAACAATTATATCACGGTAATGTATCTAAAACAGTGTTGTTAATTTAACCGGGTAAATAATAATTAACTATTTGAACCAATGAATCAGTTATTTAGCCAAATTAACCAAGTCAAGACAATTTAAACAATTACAATAAAATAGAACTGCATTTTATATTTTTATATTGTTAAATATTACATAAATATAGCCCCTCTCAGAGTCAGCCATTTGACACAATTACAAGTTCTAAGATAATCAATCGTTTAACAATTGCAGGAATAAATTTGAACCGAGTCAAAAAAATGTCTTGTCTTATGACTTGCCCTGAACTGGTTAAATAACCGAGGTTCAAAATTCCAAATAAAGACATTAACAACACTGATCTAAAAATACTACATATACAACGTGTATAAGTAATTAGAGTGTCCAGGAGACTGCGGCGGCAGAATCTGCGCAGAATTTGTACAGAATTCTGCGAGCAGGATAATAAATGATTGGAGAACATAGTCTATTGTGATAAAATTAGAATTTTCTTTTTGTTGTGATTTTGATGTGATTTTGTTTTTAAAGTATTATTTATATGCCGCCGCAGAATTCGCAAATCTAACGGCAATCGCAGCAGAATTTGTCTGTTAAGGCAGCAGCCCCCTGGACACTCTATAAGCAATATATGTAAATGAATCAATGCATTATGTTACGTATCGGCGTATCTCTGACAATTAAGGAAACAATGAAGAAATAGTTTACTCGATAATCTATATCAATATTCTTTTTTGTATGATTTATGCCAGTACGTACATACGAACGCACTACATATCTTTTATCAGTTTTTTTAACTAATTAATAATTTATTAGAAGTCATAATTCAAATTATGTAATATGTTAAACAAAAAGACTATTTTTAGAACGTGTATTCTTTTCAATGCTTCAAACGCAGGGACACAGAGTTTTCGCAAAATCAAATATATGCATATTTTGCTCTGATAAGAACATTACGAGAAAGACTACATATAATTCACATACTATGCAATTCAGTGTTGTTAATTTAACCGGGTAAATAATAATTAACTATTTGAACCAATGAATCAGTTATTTAACCAAATTAACCA